TTTAAAAAAAGTTAAAATGTTGTTAAAAGTTTGATTGAAATAGCTTTTGATTTCAGTAAATATGCTGCAAACACAACAAATGACAATTTTCAGTTCTTTACAACCTATAAAGTGTTTTGAAACTTACTGTGCGCAATAATTTGGAACAATGCATTGTAAGTGTTTTATGTTTAACAAAAATCCTGTTATCATTAGGAGGTTTGTTCAATAAAATGTGAATTGTACTCTTAATAGTTGATAACATGAGAATTATGCTGACTGTTATTTACTTCAATTATTTAGGTAAATGAGAAAAATATCATTTGCATAATAATTTGGAACAGGGTGTAATGCACACCTGGCATTTAACAATGCCTCTTAAAGACCCTCCTACTGTTAAAGCAATTTGGCCACATCCACTATTTAATGTCCCTGTATTGTCTGAAGAAAAAAGCCCTGGGATTGAACCTTTGTCTGAATTTAGGACCATTCAGAAAGGTCAGTTGCACATGGGTGTCTAGCTCCTGTATCTCCAATCCCAGCATTTTAAGGTGCTAGGGAAGGACAGGTGCAGGCCCACTATTGACAGCCATAGTCTATGGCAGGTTGAATTATGCTGCAGATGGATGCTATAGTGAGTGGTACTCATGTTTAGGGCTGAATGCCTCTAATATAGAATTCTTGTGTTCCAAGCATTTTGTCCCTCTACACATAGGGGAGGAATTCAATAACATTGCTGCACCACTTTTCCTGCATTAATCCCTTTTGTTAATGTGTGGCACCAAATTCAAATAGCATTTCAGTTCTGACAGTGAGTTATGTGTCAAATTCATACAGTTCTAAAATGTAACTATAACAAAAGTGTTGCGCTAACTCATAAATATACTAACATATGAAATTAATAACCAAAAAAGTCATTATAATGAATGTGCGTCCAATCAGACAATGGTGCTTGAAAAGGTACTTATTGTATGCAATGTGCTCCAAAATGCTGTAACTAAAACAACAGCGCTCCACTGTGACTTTAGTGCACCTCCACCTGCGGGTACGGATGACCGCTCACCTCATACAGTGGACCTATAAATTAATATAGGCCAACCAAGAATAGTAGTTCCATCAAGGAGGCTCCAGATGGCAGCAGAGAGCTGATAACAGGCACCACTTCAGATGGCACTATATACGGAAATCGCAGCTTTATACTCCAATGTAAGAGTGAGTACTCACTGGTGCCCGGTGATTTCCAAAGATCTCTGACAGGGAGGAGGACTGTTTTGTTTACAGTTCTCCTCCCCATCAGCTCGGGCACACTGCTCTGGCTGGCTGTGCACAGCACAGCCATCCAGAGCAGTGTGATTACAGCGAAAGAACACTGACACGGCCCCCTTGCAAAACACTCCCTGCACACAGGTAACCCTTTGATTGCCCCTCATGTTAACCCCTTCCTGTCCAGTGCCATTAGTACAGTGTCAGTGCTTTTTTTTAGCACTGATCACTGTATTGGTGTCACTGGGGATGTCATTGACAACAAGTCAGTTCCCCCCAGTGTCAGAATGTCCACCGATGTCCCGCTATAAGTCGCTGATCGCTGCCATTACTAGTAAAAACATTTAAAAATCCCAATCATATACTGCCATTTGTAAACGCTAAAACTTTCATGTAAACCAATTAATTTACACGTATTGGGATTTTTTTTTAGCAAAGAGATATAGCAGAATACTTTCTGGTGTAAATTTATGATGAAATTAGATTTTTTACATTTTTTCACTGGACATGTTTAATAAAGCAAAAAATATTTTTTTTCTCAAAATTGTCAGCCTTTTTTTTATAGCGCAAAAAGTACAAAACGCACAGGCGATCATATACCATTGAAAGAAAGATCAATTTGTGGTAAAAAAAAAAAGGACATCCATTTCATTTGGGTGCAGCATTGCATGACTGCGCAATTGTCAGTTAAAGTAATGCAGCGTTGTAACATAAAAAATGGCCTGGTCAGGAAGGGGGGTAAATCCTCAGGAGGGCAAGTGGTTAAGACCTACTCTCTTTTGGTGTACAGAGAGAAACCCTGGTGCAGACAGATTTTGTGAAAGTGTCTTGAGTGCGTTCTAAGGTCCCGGTCACACTAGAACATGGTGGGGGAAATCTACGTTCTGCGTGCATGCAGTGCGTTACCGAAAGTAGTCCATACACTACTTTTAGTGTGGTGCGATTTCAGCCCACTCCATTTTAAAACTGTTTTAAGGGAAAAAAATATGTTTAGAATCACTTTAATTTCTGCAAAACAGGTAGATTACTGCTATATTGGTATATAGGAAGCTGAAATAAAGAAGATATATGAACTTAGCCTTTAACTACAGTGAACTTATTCAGAGAAAAAAAAATTACTTTCAAAACAGAAATTGCCTAAAATAAATTCAAGAAACCACCCATCCAGGCCTAGCTCCACCCTCCCTGATATTACATAGACTGTTTTCATGTCTGTAGGGCTAGGAATGCCACACATTACACTCCCCAAGAAAAGTAAAAGCATTTCCCTTAACAATGACAGCACTAAAACACACACTGTATATTCTAGATTAAAAGAAGAGGCACACAAGGCAAACATGGCAACAAAAAACATCTTTATTAAAAAACGGGTCAAATTAAATTTGAAAGTTAAATTTAGACTGTTTTTTCGTTAGGATATACAGGTTATGACAAATATCACTGGCATGCTGCTTGATAACAACCAGTTATATCACCTAATGCTGGCCATAGATGACAACCAGCAGAATGATAGAAAAAAACTGAACACATTCCCCCATCCACACAAGCAAGGTGGATGGAGGAATCCTATATACGGCCTTCTTATATTCTGACAGCGGACTCCTCCACTGTGAGAATACACTGACCATCGCTGCAGCCAATTGACTGCAGCACTGGTCGCATAAACATTTACCAATAGTGCTGTTCAAAAGCAGTCGATCATTAGGTTGACTCATCTCAAATGGGAATGGCCATAGAGAGAGCGAAATCCAGCCGGTCTGTGCATCTACAGCCAGCTTAAGTCGGGTCCAGCAGCCTCCTGGCAATTTTATAGAACCCCCTATAATGATGAGGCATCGAGTCATCCAACTGCTTTGCGTTTACCACCATAGCAGCAGCACACCTCCCCACAATGGTGACAGGCTCTCAGAGGGACCTAACAGCACATACAGGGGGCAATGAAGGATAATGTCACTAAAGCCAGCGGGGTATTGTTTGGAATGCTGTTATAAACTGGTAAATTGTCTGTAGAACCTGAACTGTGATCACTGTAGAACTGGGTATACACATATTGAAATTCAGTTCAACAGAAACTGGATGAATTTCGATCCTTGTGTTGCCCTCTTAGTCCTGCTGGAAAACCAGCATTCGATCAGCCACTGCAGCCAATGGTTGCAGAGCGGATTAGTGTATTCTGAGAGTTGGAGAGTCCCCGCTGTCAGAATACAATAGCAGGGTGATCCCTGCATCCATGCAGCTTGTGTGGATGCAGGAATCTGTGAGTTTTTTTTCATTCAACCTCCTGGTTGAATGAAAAAAAAAACTTACAGTGTATACGTAGCTTATGTTTTGAATACAGGTGTATAAGCGCTTCAACCTTCTCACTTCCCAGCTCCGCCCGGTGCTCAGACGTATGGGCCGCTAAAGCCTCAGGTAACATGGATCACAAGAGGAGTCAGCACTCGGAATGGCATCTAACAATGGTTATTCTTTATTGCAAAAACATGTATAACAGTTGTAAAACAGCCAACGCGTTTCTGCCATCAGGCCTTAGCCGTGACTAAGGCCTGACGGCCTAAATGCATTTGTGGCTTTACAGCTGTTATACATGCTTTTGCAATAAAGGACAACCATTGGATGCCATTTAGAGTGTCCGCTACTCCTCTTGTGATTCCAACTCATGTTTGGGTTTGAATGTAATGATAGGAAAAAGTTGTGAAATTAAAGTAAAAATGTATCTGATTACAAATAAAAAAAAAAAAAGTCTGGAAGCACCCAATAATAAAGACACATGACACAAACAAGTATCTGACACTTGTGTTATATTCTATGTACCAGAGTGTATAAATAATGTGACATAACACAGGTAGATTGGAGAAACAGATAAAAGCTGAATAAACAGTAAACCATCAGAAAAACCCAATACACTGATAAACAGCTTCAATAACCATTCAGCTGCCAGAGACAGAAAGGTCACCTTTCTACAGCAGCAGGACTCAGCCCCTATACTGGAATGTCCCAACTTCCAACAGGAACACAGGGGAAGTTGGGCAAGGAACAAACTTTAAGAAACTTTCTCCCAAAAGTCATAAAATGTTCTTGTACCGTACATTTAGTTAAATATAGACATTTGTTATTTGTACATAAAATCACTTGAATAAAACTAGAAATTATTTAGTTTTCACTAAAAATTCATTTAGATATTGTGTATTTGTAGGCTGTCCAATTCCTCCATCCTCTATGCACAGCGTTAGTTATTGGAGGTTCCAGAGCCAATAAAGTGTGAGGAGCAAAATTGGGGCACGTAAATATGTATACACACACACACACACACACATATATATATATAAATATATAAATATATTTATATATACATATTTTTTTTTTGTTCTAAAATTTTCAAATGGCCTAATTTCCATAAAACATTCAGCTTTGATCATCCTTTCAATGAGCATTCTTGGGTTTCAGGTCATTTATATGTTACAAGTTGGTTGAATTACATCTGCATTCAAACAGGAATGGCAAATAAAAAATAAAATATTAATTACAAAAAGGAAAAAAAATAAAATAATATATATATATATATATATTTATATATATCTAATGCAAGACTGGCACTGTTACATATTCGCGCTGGTCCTATCTGAACACAGATAGCTTTGCTACAGTCCTCCTTGTGTAACCCACTTACAGCATCACCTAAAACTGCCTGCGTCCGTCGGGTCCAGCAGCCTCCTGGCAATTTAAAGGATTCTTCCAGGTTTGGATGAGTCATTGAGTCATCCCGCTGCTTTGTGCTTACCACCGCAGCAGCCACACACCTCCCCACAGTGGTGACAGGCTCTCAGAGGGAGGTAGCAGCACATACAGGGAGCAATAAACGATAATGTGACTAAAGCCAGCCAGCGTAGGCATAAGTTTTCATCTGAAGTGTCACAGGAGCAAGGGTCAGAGAAGTCTCCTTCTGAATCAGACATGCAATGGTACAGCATGCTCTCTGCGCAGAGCATACAGCTAACCTGGTAGATGCATCGCCTGATGGGATCCGGAGCATCCTGGCATTTCCCTCGTCCATTCTCCTCGTGGTTGAAGCGCTCCTGACAGTATATGCACCTTGAACGCTCCCCGTCTTCTTTCCTCCGCTTTTTAAGCGAGGACATAGGTTGAGTCTTAAACACTCCGGATGATTTTTGCTCTTTGAGAGAGTCTCTACCATTGGCTGGGGAATAAAGATAGTTGCTTTTTTTACTGTCTGCCTTGTTGAAGGGAGCACTTATCTCATGTTCATCCCGCTCTGCATCATTCCTCCATATGTCAGGATGCCGATAGTCTGCATAGCGACGTATGATGATGTCACGTGGGTTTATACGCACAATTTCATCTTCGTCCTGGAAGCTGACATGTCGGAGTGGCTTTAGAGGGACCTACAGTGAAAAAAAATATAAGATCAGTTACAGTGAGACCTGGAAAGCCTAAAGCCGGCCATAGACGGTTCGAATCTTGGCCAGGTCAGCAGGGACTGGCTGAGATTCATACCAAGTATGGGCAGTCTGAATGTACCCAAGTTGATCAATCGATCAACCTGGGTACAACTAGCCTGTCAGATCTGTCCGATTTTACATGCAATTACTGCTAACAGTAATCACTGTGGGTACAGGAAAGAAAATTGCTCTGTTTATGGATGACTTAAAGCTAGCCACAGATAGAAGAATATCCTCCCAAAAGTTGGCATACATACTACAATCCAGTTGTAAAATATTGTTTAGATTTTAACAATATCCCATTAGGAAGATTTCCACTCCATTGTCACCAAGGCAGTAAATAAAGGAAAATCTATTGATGAATGGTGACAATCTGTGACCGTGTTCCTTATAAGGTGATGAGTGTAGATTGCACTAACCAGAAAGCGCAATTTAATGCGCATTTGAGTAATTTATAACCAACTCCTGGTCATCCACATCTGGGAACTGGAACACAGTGGGGGTCATCTGGCCAGCGTCAGCTAGGCAGGTAGCACACCATCAGGGTCTCCAGGTACCAGGGAAAGCACTCTTCTCACCAGCAGGGGGAGCCAGTCTCACCATCAATGTAGAAGCCACCAGGTCCCAGGTCATCGGGGTATGCCTTGGAGGGGGGGGGGGGGGGGGCTCGAGAGTAACGAGCCAAACACAGAAAATCCGTGCGGAGTGACGTCACAGGGTAAGGGCACCTCCCCCACCTGGCCGGTGGCCATCTTGGATTTCCCCTGCCAACTCCTAGGCTGCAGCATGTGAGTTTATTTCAGTGTTATACCCCCTCTGTTCAATAAAAGTACTACACTATTGGGATTTTCTGTGTTTGGCTCGTTACTCTCGAGCCCCCCCCCCCCCCCCCTCCAAGGCATACCCTGATGACCTGGTGGCCAGGAGTTGGTTATAAATTACTCAAATGCGCATTAAATTGCGCTTTCTGGTTAGTGCAATCTACACTCATCACCTTATAAGGAACACGGTCACAGATTGTCACCATTCATCAATAGTTTGCCTCGCATGTTGCCATTACCACCACTGTGTGCACTTTATAATGCTGACTTTGGCCGTTTGCATTTGTCACTATTCGTTACGCCATTGAGCATCATTTTATTCTATCATTACCTATACGGCATTTAGCTATTCATTCCTCGATTCAGAGGATTGAGTTTTTATGAGTCTGATGTTTGATGTTTTTTCTTATGTACCTATAGTTTTTACTAGCGCTGGATGTTTCATTTATTTGTAGATTTCGGAGGTTTTTTGAGGTTCTGCCTTTCATGCTAGCTGCTTTACTATGTTATCCAGCGCTCGTTCATTTACCTTGTTATATAAAGGAAAATCTGCTTTAACCAAATTCATTTTACAATTCCCCACTCTATCCAAAAAGAATAAAACATGTTTTTACTTTAGCTATATAAATATACTTTTAATGTGCTACACAGAAAGGTGAAGAGTCAGGACCCCACAAAGAAAGATTTTCCAAAAACAAAATCTCCATATTATCTCCATAATAAGGGCCTCAGATTATCCAGGCTACTCATTATCACCCTCAAGCAGAGACGCAAAGGCCCAACAATCACAAGTAATGCAACCAAGTAGCAGCATTACTGCCTTGTACTGAGCAGCCTGTAGCCCACTAGAATGAAAAATAAACTCAGACTAGATATGAATAATTGTGTTTTCATTAGTGATTTGACTGAGTCAAGCAAACCAAGAAACAACTGAGCAATATATAGGTTTTAAACAATAGATAAACTAGCACTTGCGTTAGACAAAGCTCTATGCAAGTGCTGATCTCAGCCCGTTGCCTCAATAATGTCCCAGCCAGGCTCTTGTTCTTCCACATATATCTGCAGCAAACCTACAAAGTGACTTCCTGCCTTCAGCTCTAACGGAATCTTCTATTCCTATCAGTTCATCCCCCACAGTTATTACCTTTTGTACCACTAGCTCCTCCCTCTTAGAGTGTAAGCTCCAAGGAGCAGGGCCCTCCTAACCCTTTTGTATTGAACTGTATCATTGCTGTATTGTCTCCGTTTATATTGTATAGCTCTGAGCAAACTGTTGGCGCTATATAAATCCTGTATAATAATAATAACTTCATTCATTCCTAAGGTAATGCCATCAAACTTTCATCTCAAAAGTAGAGGGCCGTTTGATAGAAATGAATGGAGACTGTATAACATACTGTATGCATGTTAGAAGAAGGCAGGACGACTTTTGAAGTAGCGGCTTTATTACTCCTAAAATGCCACACAGCACAGATCTTGGAGACGTGAAGAGAGGTAAATATAAGATTCGAGGAGGATGCATTTAAATAATTTAAAAATACATTTTGATAAATATTGTCATGAAAAGCAACCCAATGGCCAATTGAAGTAGCATTCATGGTAGATGAATAATTATGGTGAATACTTGTGAGCTATTATGAATCGAGGTGTTCAATAAGTTCTACAAGTGTATGGGGTGCGCTGGCACTTGCACTGACTCACTTAGCTAGTGTGTATAAATGATAGAAAAAAGATTGCGCCGCGCTCCTATATATTTATATATACAGCTAAAGCTTCTAAAGTGTATCAAATAACAATGTTACCAAATGTGAACTGTGATTATACCACTAAATGCATATGAAATAATACATATAGATAACATGCATAGTAAATAATCCTAAAGCAATAGTGCCTTAATGGGTGCCACGGTATAAACCTATGTTGCACCTATATATAACTGTGTAAACTCTATATTAATAGTGCAAAAGCATATGTGCACGTGCTAATATTAAACAAATATATATACAGTCTTTAAAGTAAATGTGCAGGTAGATATTCTGTTCCTTTTCTCCGAGTGCTAGATGGTCTCCTTATATGCTCACCTCTATATTTGCCTGAATGAATCCAGGCAAATACGCTTTTTATCCTTCCAGGATAGATGAAATGGGATGATGCCTTTGCTCTAGCCGTCCTATGAGGTGGACATGCATATGGATGGATCCTCCTGTTATCTCCTTTATCTCCCTGTGTATCTATGAGTACACTGAATAGCTCTCTTGGGATCTCCCAATTCCCCTCCTGGGGTTGTTTCCTCGTTCACTCCTCCTCCTTATATCAGCTCATGGGATGTTTGGTCAAAAAGAGGAAAAAGCAGACCATAGTGTCTTATCCTTATACACAAGATGGATTTATTTCTGCCAATAACAGGTATAACTTGATGGTATGCAGCTCATATATGATCCAAACAGGCATGAATGGCAATCAGCAGGTAAAAAGTAGGTAAAAATAAACCTCTCTGCAGCTGCCCCTGCAGTGCTGTCTGCCTGTGCTTGTGCTCGGATCTGCTCGCTTCTATAGTGCAATGTCGTGACGTCAGAGCCCCTCCCCTACGCGTTGCGTCACAGGGTCATGTGACTTCATCAGGGGGAATTTGATTGGATGCCACGACTATGTATGCCCAGCTATTTATATGTCCATCTTGTGTATAAGGATAAGACACTATGGTCTGCTTTTTCCTCTTTTTGACCAAACATCCCATGAGCTGATATAAGGGGGAGTGAACGAGGAAACAACCCCAGGAGGGGAATTGGGAGATCCCAAGAGAGCTATTCAGTGTACTCATAGATACACAGGGAGATAAAGGAGATAACAGGAGGATCCATCCATATGCATGTCCACCTCATAGGACGGCTAGAGCAAAGGCATCATCCCATTTCATCTATCCTGGAAGGATAAAAAGCGTATTTGCCTGGATTCATTCAGGCAAATATAGAGGTGAGCATATAAGGAGACCATCTAGCACTCGGAGAAAAGGAACAGAATATCTACCTGCACGCTTACTTTAAAGACTGTATATATATTTGTTTAATATTAGCACGTGCACATATGCTTTTGCACTATTAATATAGAGTTTACACAGTTATATATAGGTGCAACATAGGTTTATACCGTGGCACCCATTAAGGCACTATTGCTTTAGGATTATTTACTATGCATGTTATCTATATGTATTATTTCATATGCATTTAGTGGTATAATCACAGTTCACATTTGGTAACATTGTTATTTGATACACTTTAGAAGCTTTAGCTGTATATATAAATATATAGGAGCGCGGCGCAATCTTTTTTCTAGCATTCATGGTAGGCTGACAATGTTGCTGCTAATAGTGAGGCAGTGTTTTAGCATTGTCTACTTGCAAGTTCAGGTAAAAAACGTTGCAACAGATTTACAAAAATGATTTGTTTAAGAAATTTTTTTAATAATGAGGCATTAAACTAAACATACTTAAAAATAGATTTATAGTTTATATACAAATTATGCTCAGTTTTCACACTGTGTTATTTTAGCAGTTTTCACATTTCATTTCACCTGGCTGTGCATATAGGCTCTCCTGGTATTGAGGTTTTCAAATGGAGAGGGCCTGATGGCAGAACTACGATATAGCTCATCGGTTGGGATGGAGTCACGACGGAAAAAAGAGTCATTGTTCTGTATGCTGCAATGATCTTCTTTGTTCATCTAAAGAGGAGACAGACATAGATCCATTATCTTTATATGTGTAATATATGAAAATGTAAACTAAGAGCAACAGAAATACATATGTAACATGAAAGAGCAGAGGGTTGTATGATAATCACTGTGATCTTTAGAATACTATATAACTAATAACAGAACATGCACTCTTATTTGGCCATGCATGGACACAAACAATATCTAATCTGGTGATTCCACACACCCATTATGAAATATACTTATAACACGAGACCCAACAATGCACACCATTCTGGGAATTCAATCAAACTTCAATCAAACTTGCAAGTTGCTGTCCAAGTTGATCTGCAAGTATCATAATGAATGTCTATGGAAATGACTAAATCCTAAACTGATGTAAGAGCTGAATTGTTCACTTCCCTGTCACTGAATCATCTTCATAGCAGCTATAAGTCTTTCTGCTTATTTTCCTTGGTAATGTATTGCTGGATACAGACTTACTGCTGTATGTGACCACAATGCTTGTCTAGGCAGCAACAAATTGCTGGTGTGCCATGATCACCAGCAGCTGATTTGGGTAACATGAGTATCTACTGCAGCTGGAGATTCTGTATCTCTAAGGCTAGGTTAACATCTGTGCGGGTGGTGCTGCTGCGGATCCGCACAAAAATCCGTGCAGCCGCACCACCCACACAGAAGAAAGTGGACCCCGCGGGCAGGTGCCATTAATTCTAATGGCACGCCGCCTGCACTGGAAATCGCAACCACACTGGGAATCAAGGTTCCTGTGCAGGCTATGGTTTCCAAAGAAGTGCAGGGACTTCTTCCCTGCATGTCACGGGAGTCCATTCAAATGAATGGTCTCTCGTGCCCGCGCAAAACGCGGCCTGTAGGAATGCACTTATGTGAACCAGGGCTAAATGCTTCAAAAAGTCAAGCGCTCAGCCACCAAGCTAGGAATTGTGCGGATTTTTAGCATTTCAGTAGCTGCTACAATATCACTTGTGTGAAAAGGGTTAATGTTATCAGGTCCTACTGCTGTAAAACATAGTTTGCTATGAACTGCATGAGAGCAAGACTCCTGCATCATGGTTGCTGACATCTTCAATTTATGTTGTCAGTATTTTGTTAGGACTGTGCTCTGTTAGTGAATAAGGGGGTACGTGCACCAACTGTTCTCAAAAACTATCACTGACACTATATTCAGCTAGCTGATCAGTTCTCTCTACACTAAACAAAAAAGAAAAAATGGAAACATAAAAACTATATGGGCTTACCCTTTTATAGCAGAACTAAACCCTCCTATCATTTTCAGCCAAGGAAGCTGCCATCTTAACCTCCGTTTGATCTTCTACTGCCATGGTGCTGCACATGTGATCACTTGTGACACTAGCCATTTGATAGTTTGACAGTTCCATTAAAAGCACCAGCAAATGTGACAGTTAGCTTTTCCGGCACATGCTGGGAATGTACGGTAGGTAACTGTTTTTTTGAAATTGTTAAATTGATGGGTTTAGTTCCGCTTTAAGGCCTCGTTCACACCATACGTGCAGAAAAACTGATCGAAACGGATTAACAGATTTAAATCAGTTTACATGAGTTTTCATGTGCGCTCAAATGAGTTTTATACACGTTGCAGATTCCAGCACAGAAAAAAAACCTGCATGTGATATTAATGTAGTTGTCTGAACAGGGAACATAAAAAACAACTGATTTAGTTGAGACCTTGAAAAACGCGTGCAGAAAAACTGATGTCTCTGCACCATGGTGTGAACAAGCCCTAAATGTTCCAAAAAATCTCCTTCCCTTGCTGTTCTCATTTCCGCTCTCCTTGGTGTGTCTACCCATTGTCACTTCCCACGCCTGGAATCACTAACCTTCAGTCTAATGCCCTGTACAAAAGATGAGAAAATCGGAAAAATGGTTGTCTGTTTTTTCTTTTTTATTGCATGCTAGTCTCATATCGAAAATGAAGTGGTTACTAAATTATAAAAATTCTCATATGACAGAATACAACTTCGGAAGTGATGTAATGTATTGTATTGTAATGTATTCTTTTGTTTCTGACAAATACCGTACCAATTGAATGAAAAATCGTTTGTTCTGGTATCGTATGAGAAGCATTTTTGTGATTGTCCTTTTGGATATTGTCACGTGAACTATTATGATCGGCTGTCGAAAGCTGTGTACTAACCATCAGATTATCGTACAATCCCTTCGAAAGCGATTTTCTGATCGTGTATAATAGGCATTAGTACTGTTTTTTTTTTTATTGCTACTATGAATGTACTGGTAACATTGTTAATAAAGTATTGTTCAGCCTTCCTGGCAAAAACTACATTCTTATCTCTGTGATGGGTGCACATTTAGGCCTATAGTAACCACAACTGGTCTGTACAACATTCAGAACTGATCTGTAACTCGGCCAATTTACTCTTCCACAGGGGCGGACTGACAACTCATGGGGCCCCCGGGCAATAGAGGATCATGGGGCCCCTGTGTCCTTGCCCAAACTCAAAAAAGCCTATGAAAAAGGTACCAGGGGCATCTCATGGGGCCCCCTACTGACCCTGGGCCCTTGGGCAGTGCCCGAGTTTCTAAATGGTCAGTCTTGCTACTTCAATGTTCCTTTTGGGTAACAGCAATGAAATTATGTTTGAAACTAACATCAGATTAGACACTATGAGCTCATCAAGCTGTGATATGTGATACGTATGCTAAAAGTGGCCTATCGAGCAATGCTGTTATGTGTGACGTTACTTGATTCATCAAAGTAAGAAAAAAGTCTTATAGCATTAAAAATTTCTCCTTAACTAAATACATTCCCCTTGCATCAAAAAGACACTCGGGTGCCACAGTGTTCAAAAATCACTATCCCACCTAGCGCTCCAATCCACATCTGCAGAAAAAAACACCAAAAATAAAAAGTGATATCCTATGGATTAAAGCTAGATGTTGTAGTGAGCGGCCGCAGATGAAAAACTAAATTGTGCGGATGACTTCTTAGCACACAATAGAACATTAATAAAATATCATAAAATACACTGAAAAGCAATAAAAGTGGGTATCCCTGAATCTACAAATCACACACTGACACTAAAAACTGGTCTGCAGCTGCATGCAAAGAAGAGTAGAGGTCCAAATGTGTAGAAAACAAAGCAGGGAAAGACAGAGAGAGACAACGCATCCACCTTGGATGTCACCTCTGAGAGCATGTGCAAAGGACGCATTTTGAGGAAGCCTCCTCTTCATCACCCTGCTTACAGGGCTACCCACAAGCTGTTAAAGTGTCTTACGTTAGCACTGATTTTAAAGGAGCCATGTGTCAATAATGCACTATTACAAATGGATTGTAAAAACATATTGAAACAATATTTGAAAGCACACTCAGTGGTCTAATGGCTTACAAAGGAAAAAGCTGTATTCACAGGACTAATATATATTATACAGCTATGCCACAAGAAAATCTAGCCAAAAGTCAGACATTCACCAAGAGGCAAAAAAAGAAAAAACAATAAGAAACTTTGCCTCCTGGTGCATTGATCACTTTTGGATAGATTTTCTTGTGGTATACCTGTATAATATAATAAAATATAAAATATATAAGTCCTGCAGATACATTTTGTTTTCTTTGTAAGGCATTAGGCCACTGAGTGTGCTTTCTAATATATCTTTAAGATCTGTTGGGATTAGTGCATTATTGACATGTAGTCCCTTTAAAATAGGTGATAATGTAAGAATATTTACCAGCTTGTGGGCATACCTGTAGGAAGGCTAACAATGAGGAGGCTTCCTCAAAAAGCGTCCTGTGCACATGTGAGATGACGTTGGATAGAGGTGGATCCATCAGTTCTCATGGCTGACTGTTCCTTCCAGGTGACTGTTTCCCACATGGACGCTGGCATCCCCAAGTGCCGCATCTCATTTGTGCACATTCCCCTGGAAGGACTTGATGTTGCCTCACACCATCTTGGCATATGGTCCTTGTGAATATTTTCTGCTTGTGATGTCCTTTATTTGTGAGTGCAATATTAACTTTTCATAAAGTGTTGACATACACCATACTGCACTATTGTTGTGCACTGGGTCACTCCCTTTCGCAGCTTTGTTTTTTTATAAAGTTTGTTTACTAGGTGTAAAGTCTAAATTTGGGAGTTAAAGCCTAACTCCAGTCAAAGCTACTTTCCCATTTTCAACAGCATAGAAAAAGCTTTTGAGTTCTGTGACATTTCTCCCATACTGCCTACTGGTCTGGTAAGTGAATGGATGCAGATGGTAAAAAAAAACAACTTGTATTGTTGCCAGGATTTTCACTGAGGCTCCCTAATCTTGGCCAGGGTATATAAAAAGCTTCCTTCCTCGTCCACTTCAGTGTGCAGCTCCCCCCCAAATACTTACCTGAGCCCTATTTCAATCCAGTTTTGTGCACAAGAGCAGCAATTCCCCCTGCTCCTGCTGCTGTCAATCACAGCCAGTAAGGAGGGAGCCAGAGGTAGGACCGAGCACGCACAAGTGCCCCAAGAGCAAGCAGGTAGATATGGGGGCACTCAGTAGAGGTGAGGAGAATCAGGGCTGCTCTGTGCAAAATCACTGCACAGAGCAGGTAAGTATAATACGTCTGTCATTTTAGTATCGCTTTTAGGTAGTTCCAGCTGGGAACAGTTATAAGGATGAAGAAATTCTGGCTAGGAGATTCCCTAATTTCCTTGCTTATATCACTATCATTGAGGTCCCTTTCACGCCATTCTGATCAGGTCTGTCTGTCAGTTTTTTAGGTGGACCTGATCAGAAGGTCAATGGAGCCCTATGGACAGGAGATGTAAAGTTATTTGTGTCTCTGTTTACATTGACCTACCTCTGGGTCCGATCAGCCTGGTTAAAAAAAACACAAAGGGACTGTGTCCCCTGCATCAGGAAGCCTGATGTAAATGGACAGCGGAGTCCCTTTATACCCAGTTGCTTGTAGAGCTCAGCGGGGAAAGTGGAGGGGGGTGGGGGTGACACTCTAATTTCGCCCCTACAATGTA